AAGGATGAAGAACGCGTAATGTACACTATACTAGCTTTTGACAGTGAGATGACTGGCTAGCTAGGTAAGTGGGTATGTTTTTGTAAGTGTATGCATGTATAGGTATATGCACACACACATATACACACATATATAACATATAATGTGTGTGAGGGAGAATGCAGTTTTTTCCTCATTTACAAGAATTTTATTTGCTTTTGTTAAAACCTGAAACACATAAGAAACTCCTCATCCAGCCCACTCTACTCCCTAGTTTGTCATCTCCAGATATGTATAAGTCACTTCTTTCAAGGTGGGAAATTGAAGTTCTCTGGTTAAAATATTTTTTAATGTGTTTATTTCGCAGGTAGAGAAGATTATCTGTAACTTAAAACCAGCTTTAAAACTTCGTCTTCGATTCATCACACACATTAGCAAGATGGAACCAGCTGCAGTGCCCCCACAAGCCATAAATAGTGGGTCTCCAGCACCTCAGTCTAATCAGGTGCCAGTGTCCTTACCGGTCACTCAGTGAGGGCAAGGTGTACCGCGGTGAAAAGGAAAACACATCTGTCTTTGGAAGTGGACTCAAATCTATTAAATCTGAACATGATCCTGCTACATAGAGAGAGATACAGTAGAAGCAGTGATGTTCAGATTGTTTTATTTTGATTCAAATGATGAATCTGTTGATACTTTACAACTCCCATCTCCCTACCTGTATTTTTGTCTCTAAGAGATAAACTACATGTTGCTCATATCCATCACAATTTATTAGAGCTACCTAGGAATACTGAGGTATCTATGATCAAATGACTCTTACTAGATACTTTCAATCTTTCCTATCTAGTCCCCGGTTTTATTTTTAATTTTTATTATTAATGACTTCTGCTTTCAAATACATTGTTTTAAAGGCAACACACATGTGAAATAGTTATTACAAATCATTTTATACATAAATCTCTCTTGGTGTATCTTTGGGATAGGAGATTTTTGTCAAGTAAAGGACTCGAATATTCACTTCATTGCAGGAGCAAACACAGTTTCCTATTCTTTTAAAAATGGCTTAAAATTTTTACCATAGATTTCCAAAGAAATGGGCTAACATTTCTATTAAGGCAGATTGGCAAGTTTTTGCTTTTGCTATGGACTTGAACGTACTGTATGAAATGAGTTTCAAAGCCATGTAAAAAAATAACACAGAAAGGCATAAACTTAATAAAATAATACTTAAATGGTGATTCTCCAATCTCTGTTTCTAAAAGCAAATTAATTGCTTTTCCAGGTTGACACTCTCACCTGGCCAATGATGTGATTCTTTAAGTTTTTATACTCTTGAAATTCTTAAGTTAATGTATTTTTAATTATAGCATACATTGTGGTTCTTTATGGTTTATCAGATTTTAAGAGGCAAACTGTTAATTTGGGGAGGGTGGGGCAATGGCGTTAAGATTGTAAGATTTGAAAATAATTAGTAAAATCTGTTGAATGAGTAAACTGTCTGATTAATTACTCAGTCTGAACGGGTGTCTGCTGTGTTCCAGGCAGTATGCTGGCTAGGTTGTAGCAAGAGAACCGGGCTGTTTCTACAGGTTGTACACTGCATTTGGTGACTGACACTGACCTAATAAACTGTAGTTTACTCTCATTTATTTTGTCCACTTTCCTGACACTGACCTAGGAACTAAGAGTTACTGATTTTTTTTTAAAGAATCAGAAATGTGGCCAACTGTATTTTAGATTTTTATTTCTGAATACATTTCTCTTAAGATCTCTCCTTGTGGTTCATATTATTGTAATCACTAAATCTTTATTTGCCATGCAAGTCTGGCTTAAAATGTATGTAATGGTATAAGTAATTTTTCTAGGTTAATAATTTCCTTAAAATTCTCCAGAAATGTTATGCTAGAAATGATTTCAAGTGTTCCTTTTGGCATAGTTTCACTTACTCTTACTGACTTGAAGAATATATTGCTTTGAGATCCTAGAATGGAATAATTGTGACTCTGGTGTTACACAAACAGAATAAAGGAAGTGAAAATCAGTGTGACTGTCTCAAGGACAAATACATTCCAGTTAAATTATTAAAAATTCCATTTGTTTCCTCTCTAGCTAAAAATAAGGGGATATGATTTTCCCAAAATAGGCTTTTAAAAGAATTGTTAATCAGAGACATTAGAAGAAGATAGAAGCTTTATTTGGGTTTAGAATGCACCTGAGGGAAAAACATCGCCTTTATATTCATTTCATCCTCAAAGTTTTTCTTTCTGAAAATGAATAGTAATCTAGAGTGGCTCTGTCCCATAGGACTTTCAGCAGTGGTGGAAATATTCTGTATCTGTGCTGTCCAGTACAAGAATCAGAAGGTCCGTGTACTGAACACTTGAAGTGTAGAGCTGAATTTTTAATTTTATTAAGCTTTAAATAATTTAAATAACCCCACGTGGCTATTGTATTGAACATTATACTTTACAGTAAGATGTATCATAATTGCTTTGACCTAAAAGTAATTCAGTAAAATACGTATCTGACAGAGTCTATAATGTCAACAGTTAGATTTAAAATTCTGGATTGCTTGTGAAAAATCAGGTGATAGGGGCTCTTTAACACATAGCTGTTACAACAACAATAAAAATCCTTTCATGGGACCTGCTTCATCACAGAGTCCATTTGAGTTTCTATGTAAGTTGGGGAGAGGGGGAAGAGTTTGCTTCCCTGGTTTTAATTATATACCTGACCCTTGAACAACACAGGGGTTAGGGGTGCTGACCCCCCACACATAGTCGAAAGTTTGTAACTTTTGACTTCCCAAGAGCTTAACTACTGATAGTTTACTGTTGACTAGAAGCCTTACGGATAACATTAGCAGTCAATTAACACACATTTTGTCTGTTACGTATATAATATACTGAACTCTTACAATGAAGCTAGAGAGAAGAAAATGTTATTAAGAAAATCCTAAGGACAAGAAAATACATTTACAGTACCGTATGTATCAAAAAATTGTGTATAAGTGGACCCATGCAGTTCAAACCCATGTTGTTCAAGGGTCAACTGTAGTTTACTCTCATTTATTTTCTCCACTTTCCTCACTATATTCCATAGCCAAGATGAGTTTTCAGGGTGTTTAAGGATTTCAGCTAATGAGATACACTCTAATTGCAATGAGTACAAGTGAGAAGTTTGGAAGCCACAGATCATTTTAAGTGAAATTCCTATCCGAGTTAGATCTTAGAAACAATAGCAATTTGATTTCTTTTTTCTACCTCCAGGGTAGGCCTCCAGAAAGCCTACGTGAATAGAAGCTTTGCTTAAAATATAAACCAACACCATGTCTGAGGTTTTTACAAAAGTAAAACATGATCGTCAAACATTAATGAATGTGGAGATTCCCCAGGCCCTATCATTGCCCATTTTGCAGTTGAAGAAACCAGAGCCAGAGTTTCATTTCACCAGGCTTACAGAATTTTGAGGATGATGATTTCACTGTGGCTTTTTAAATCCTTAGCAATTCCATGTATTTAGAAACATGTAGACATGAGAGAACCTTAATATAGAGAGTTTATTATAAAAATCGCATCTTTTGAACAACATAAGAATATGATCCCTTTCAGGTGGGGTGAACTTAATCTGCTGACATCAGGAGTCCCATTCTACATGTGTGGGCTTAAACAGGTGTGTGTTTTTAATGCCAGCAAATTTATTTGGAAGTTAACGTATCTTTCTCTAAGGATGTCTTTTGCCAAAATGGGAAATACAAACTTCAATTTCACAGAAGTTAGAATGTCCAAGTCTTGAATTTCATACCAGAGGGAATTGATAGTTTATACTAATTTTAATAATAATTACCAAGGCAGAAGATTTTTTGGAAAGATCAAATCATTGGGGCAATAGCTGTAAGCTTAAGTAAGTTATTAGATTGGCTAATTATGACATTAGCTATGAGATTTTTACATGGCATGTCCACATTTACTTAGGTGGGTTAAGGTAGTCAATAGGCTTATGATTACCCTCCCGAGCAACTCCAAAGCAAGCCAAGGTTACTGTTACTGCTGTGTTCACTGTTCGAGTTACTTCTTCCGGTGTCTTCCCCAGAGATGGGTTCACTTCCATTATATCTAATCCTGAGAGTAGCCCTGTAATAACAAATGAAAATAATGTAATTTGTTAAATAGTTGACGTTTTTAGTCCGTAACCTGATTTGAAATATTATCCAGGAGTGTAAAGAGGTGGGGATTGCATCATGCGATGGGCATTCTGGAAGTGTCCAATGGGCCTTGACTTTGAGATCAGGGGGTATAAATCTATATTGGCCATGTGTACACTTGCTTCTTTATTCACCCCAGTTTTTACCTACCTGTTTTGTAAATTTCTTCTGTAATGTAGAGACCTTCTCTGTAAGTCAGACCTCCCGGGACTGGTGTGCCAGTAGCTGGTGTGAAGGATGGGTCCAGTCCATCAACATCGAAGCTCAAATGAATTGGCCTTTTCTTTCTTTTAAGAGGTGGGAAGGACACTCAGCTTAATTTTTTTTTTTAATTTTTTAATGGTTACTTATTTTTTGAGAGACAGAGTGTGAGTGGGGGAGGGGCAGAGAGAGAGAGGGAGTCACAGAATCTGAAGCAGGCTCCAGGCTCTGAGCTGTCAGCACAGAGCCCGATGTGGGGCTCGAACTATGAACCATGAGACCTTAACCTGAGCTGAAGTCGGACGCTTAACCAACTGAGCCACCCAAGGCACCCCAGGAAACTCAGTTTAAAGTTAGTGGTTTAATATGTAGTACATAAATACGGTTCTTACCTTGTTTCATCAAAAGTAACAATCCAGTGAAGTTCTATGATTTTATATAGAGTCCTTATTAATAACTTAACATCTATTAATGTCAGTAGTCTTTTTAGTAATATTTACAAGGATCATACCTACCTTCCTAGTAGGTAGCTGAGTGCTTCTTCCATCACCTTGCCAATGCCCAGTTTATCCACTTCAGTCATTGAAAAATACTTAATACCCAGAGTTTTCAAAATATAGCTATGAAAGAGGAGATATTAATATAACCTACAATTAATAAAGAGTCTAGTTCTATGCACTACTGTTTCCTTTTAAAGAAAAGATCGTTGTGGTATGATACATAAAATATTTGAGTTCTGTGACCTGTATGTATATATCAATGTATTTTTAACAGCAAGCCAATAAAAAATTCACCTGAGTTATATACATAAATACTTATATGGATATGTAGATATCGATATAATGCTTGGTACTTAAAACAATTTTTGTGTCACAGGTTTGACCAGCATGAATGCAAAAGGGAGAAAGCAAAGGTAAATCGCATCAAGGAATTAAACTTACTGTTCCCCAGGATCCACGTCTCTCAGGCCAATATACACAATATCTTTGGCAGATATGCAGGGAGTCACCCACGAGAATCCTGGTACATCAGGGATCTAAAATTGCAATGTTTCCATTTGGTTAACATGTATGATTCTTGAGCAGATCTTACCTTAGAAGTAAAGGGCACTTATTGGACTGCGTATATCTTACATTTAGAACACGAGTTTCGAGGAAATCATTAAAGACAGTACAAAATTCAGAAGAGAATGCCTGCCTCCCCTTGTGGCACTCTAGATTTGCTTACCCACCCTCACCCTGTGGCCCAGACCTGACCTGAATCATTTGTCAGCATTTACCTGCTCTGTGCCCCATTCCACTGGACCCTGTTTTCCCAAAACTCTGCCATAAAGAAATCAGTGTGCTTTCATTACTTTTGTAGCTTCCTTCTTTCTCTCATCAGTAAGGACTTAATCCCAGAGGATGGCTTAGAGTGACTGGGGGAATTTTCAGGCAGCCCTTTGGTTGCTTTCCAAATGTCCCAGAGCCAGGGATGGCTGTTCCCATGTAAGTTTATAAACCTATCACTTGGTCATCAGTTCTGAGCCTTTAACAAGGGGATTTGCATCCCCAAGGATCATCATAAAGACCAACATACTACAGCTATATCAATAAAAATTGTTTTATTGATATGCTACAGAATATCAATGAAAATTATGAACCACAATGTTAAATCTAGAATGTCATATGTGTTAGAAAAGAAGTTTATAGGGAACAGGTGGTAGTTCTTCTTCTTGCGATGTAGATATGAACTTCTCACAGTAAACATGTTAAGTAATAAGCCATTGTAATCCACATTTTAAAACACTTTTGAAAATTCCCATGACCTGGAGGGGACACTTGGTAAGAATGAGAGGCTGTGTGGCATGCAGTAGGAAGACGTAGGTTGTCGGAGACCGGTTTTGGCCCTTGCCTTGCCATGTACTTGGCATGTGATCTTGAGCAAGTTATAACCTCTGAACCTCTGCTAACTTGCTTATATAAAGGATCACTTTCTGCCCCACCTACTAAAAAGGGTAGTTTAAAAATCAAAAGGGAAGATATATGTAAGTTCAGTTTGCAAACTACCATGTACGGCAGAGGCACAGAGCCTCACTACCCTTATCTGCCACCCCCTTTGCTTATTGACTGCTGAGAAAATGGATTGAGATCACACCACAAATAAGATGGCACAGGGTTCTTCCTTCCTTTCTATCTCCTGAACTTCTGCTAAAGCGATGATTCTTCTGTAATAGAATACCAACCAGCCTTTTACCTTTCCTTTTAGTTCCTTCAGGAGGAAAGACACAGGTTGTCCATGCAAGTTCCCACTTGTGGTTGTCAGTGGAGTGTTGATATCAGTGTGAGCATCCACCCAAATGACGCAGAGATCTGGGTGGACCCTGGCATGGCCAGAGATGCTTCCAATCGCCATACTACACAGGAAAAAAAAGTTTGTGTAAACATCAGCTTTGCGGTTTATGACATCCATCATATTATTAACTCAGTGCTCTCACTTGGTTTTCCTTTAAGTCAAAATGGCTGCTATTTCGGACAGATTTTTAATTAGAGCTGCCAATTAAAAGAGAAATCATAGCTTATGTTAATTGCTAGCAAGTTATGTTTGCATCAATGGCCTTGCTAAAAAACTTGTGATTTTTTTGTTTTTTGGAAACCACCTTCTAATAAAATTGCAAATTATTATTTAAGCCAAAAAAATAAATCTGTATAAAACACTAACCACACGAATTCCTTAGCATGAGACACTATTTAATTCTCAATATTGTATCAGGCTGATTTTCTGTACTCTCAATTCTCTTGGTAAATACTTCATTCTCTCAAGTGAATTACCACAGAATCCTTCCATTTTTCCTAAAATCCAATTATTTTACAATTGGAGAGTATCACTCAGAAATCCTTGTATGCATTTCAGCCAGGATATCCTGGGTGCTTAGTCACTGTTCAACACTCAGATCCTCTGCTTGAAGTTTGAGTATTGATTACTCAGCTTGATGTTTGTTTTCCCTTCAGATTTCTTGTCTTGAGGCTATTTGCCACTCTTAAAATTTCCACTTACACATGTTTCCACTTAAGGGGCGCCTGGGTGGCGCAGTCGGTTAAGCGTCCGACTTCAGCCAGGTCACGATCTCGCGGTCCGGGAGTTTGAGCCCCGCGTCAGGCTCTGGGCTGATGGCTCAGAGCCTGGAGCCTGTTTCCGATTCTGTGTCTCCCTCTCTCTCTGCCCCTCCCCCGTTCATGCTCTGTCTCTCTCTGTCCCAAAAATAAATAAATGTGGAAAAAAAAATTAAAAAAAAACAAAAACAAATGTTTCCACTTAAAAAGAAAGTGAACCCCAGTTTCTCAGCTGAGTTTTAGGGGAAACCAAGGAGCTGAGGTGATTGACTCTTACATCAAGAGTGATTGTAATGTTGTACTTTCTGATCTGATCAGACTTCTGATAATGTATCCAGCGACCTTGAGGGTAGACGTTAAGAAGGCTGATGCACAAAAATATTTTTGCCACATTTATAATCGTGGTAATTTGAAAATTACCTGAGTATCTGACAATATGGATATGTATAGTGGTTTTTAATACCTTGATGAAAAATTATGCAACAATAAAAATTATGCCTATCTATATCATGAAGTAACATAAGGAAATCTGTGCTTTAGGTTAAGAATAATGTATAGGATAACACACGCACTTGGTAAACAAAATCAGGTACAATAAAAACAGTATGGCAGGAAAGAAATATGCCAGAATTTCAGTTTCATTTGAAATGGTTGTTAGCAAGCTAAAATTATTACAGTCTTATTTACGTGTGTGTATGTTTCAAGAATTTGAAAATATTACCTTTATAATGGGCAGCATAGACTTTAAATGTTGGCTTTAATAAGTTGTTCCTATTACCCTACTATTGTATCAAGTACAATGAGCTGGCTGTGACTTCCTCACGCTTATTTATTTTGGAATGTAAGTTTGTGTGGAATTGTTTACGGAAATCCATTCGTGTCATGTATTTTCTGCTGTAATAAAGATAACACAAGACTTCAAATAGAGGGGAGTCTGTGTTTCCAAAAGAAAGTAGCAACCAATGCAATTAAAAGGAAAAAAGGCAGAAAATTTGGTATAAAGCATTGATCAGTGCTTTCCCTTTCATATTTTCTCTCTCCTCATGGTTTTGGTCATCCTCCCTCATGCCATTTGTGCCAGACTTCATGGAGAAAAGCATTAAACAAGACCTGTGGTCTCCGCCCAGCACCAGGCTGGTCCTTCCATTCTTCTTCACCTCTGCCACCACACCAGCCAGCTGTTCATTCGCTTTTCCCACAGACCTTGGATTCTTCACAATTTCAAAGGGAGGATCATTAGGGACGTCAACAAAGGGCAGGTCCCCGTAATCTTTCACATCACACCCTGTAATTAACACCAAAAGTTTCAGGTTACTACATAAAAAAAGATGACAGTCTGTGTATCATGATTCCAAATTTACAAAACAGTGCACTTTTATAAGCAAAGAAAGCATCTGGAAGGGCTGTAAAAGTTGCAAAGGCAGAAAAATCCACGTCTACTTTTGCCTGACGTCATCCTCTCAGCTGTACACCGGGGTCTCGGTCAATACTTGTGGAATCAATCCAGTTAGGCTGGACGCTAAAGTATGACAGCGATAATCTTCTGGTTTGGGCTTAACGAGTGGCTTCGCTGTCTTGATCTCTGTGTGGCCTTCTCTCTGCCTATGTTCTTTCCACCTTTGCAATAAGCGTGTCTTGTATTTATAATAAAAAAGTTTTTTTTAGAAGAATATGTGTGTGTGTGTGTGTGTGTGTGCATTTATGCCCAGAAGGAAATACACTAGTATTTTCTAAGTTTCCTGACTCTAATTAACAGTCCTTGGTTTCAATCCAATCTGTCACTTGCTGAAGTAGCTCAGCTCTGTCCTCTGTGCATTGGACCTGCTTCAGTAGTGGTATCAAAATTCAATAAGTATATTATCAGCAATGAGCCTAACACTTCAGTGAACTCAGGAAATAAAGGCTTTATTATTATACTTTTATAATAGGGAGAAATTGCAGGTAACCCAAAGTTCCTAAGGACATGGGTGCATTTGCTAGAAAGCCTTGCATTAAGCTTCAAGGTACAGAGAGCTTCATGTAAAACTGACATGGGACCAGTTCAGTGTTCTGATCTAACTAGTCATTGTATATCGTATTTATTTTATGCTTGCGCATATCCATGATTCAGTAACACCTTTAAGAGATTTAACTTGATATGAAATCTGACCAAATGATGCTTGTTTACTGAGACACTAGTCCAGTCCATTTACCCAACATTTCTGTTCTCTAGCTCCCTCCTTTTTTCAGCTTCATGAGGTGTAATTCTTATTTACTATTTCATTCTTATTTAATTAACTCTTATTTACTATTTTATTCTTATTTAATTCTTATTTATTATTTACTAAAATTCACTCATTTTAAGTGTACAGGTCAACGAGTTCTAGAAATCTATAGTCTTGTAACCAGCACTTTAATCAAGATTTAGAACACTTCCCCTATGCCCCCCAAACTCCCCCATGCCCCTTTGCAGTCATGCCCTGTGCCCACCCCAAGGTAGGCCCCCCTGCTGGTCATCTTCCTGTTGCTGTGCTTTTGTCTTTTCTAGAATTTCACGTAAAAGCGGTCATACAGTAGGTAGTCTTTTGCGTCTGGTCTCTTTCACTTAGCATGTTGTCTTTGAAGTTCATCCATGTCCTTGCCTGTGTCAGTGGTCTGTTCCTTTTCATTGTTGGGTACTATCTTATAGTACGGATGTACTACTTGTCATTTTTCCATTCACCAGTTGATGGGCATTTTCTTTTCTTTTCTTTTTTTTTTTTTTTCTTTTTTTGGCTATATAAATAATGCTGCTAGAAACATTCAAGTGCAAGTCTTTGTGGGGATGTGTTTTCACTTCTCTTGGATACATACCTAGGAGTAGATTTGATGGGTCAAAAGGCAAATGTATGTTTTTTGGGAGAAACTGCCAAACTGCTTTCCAAAGTGGCTCTATCATTATACATTCCCACTGGAAACTGGAGGGTTCCAGTTGCCCTGTGTCCTCTCCGATACTTCATCAGGATGTTATATGCAAAGACAACATCTGCTTTAGCCTGTACTTTTAAATTCTATATCATTTTTTTTCCTTTGTCTGCTCACGTATGTGTATGTGAATGTATATGTACGTGCATATGCACATACACACTATGCAAACACCAGGTACTATCGTCATCATCATCATCCTCGACATCATCATTTATTTCCTTTTACAAACAGGGGTCCTCTTGCTAGCATTGTACTTCCTGCTGCCCCTTACTTTTCATTTGCAAATCCCCCACCTCCCTTACCACCCACCCAACCCCAGTTCTTGCACACAGATTCTCTTATACAGTAAAAAGTTTGTCTGGAAAGACAAAATACCTGAGTGAAGATATTCATCCAACAATACTTACTGAGCATTTTCTCCACACACTGCCATATGTATATATATATGTATATATATATATATATATATATATACACACTTATATATATACACACTTATATATATACATATATATATATACACACACACATATATATATGATTGTATTTCTAAAGTTATCACTAGTGCTGCAATTCTGTGCGATAAATGTCATTCCAGATATACCCCATTCCAGCAGGAGCCTGTACCTTTTTTTTTTTTTTTTTTGAGAGCACATGAGCTCACAAGTTGGGGAGGAGGTAGAGGGAGAAAGAGAGAGAATCGTAAGCAGGCGGCACACTCAGCGTGGAGCCCAACTCGGGTCTTGATCCCACGACTCTGGGATCATGACGTGAGCGAAATCAAGAGTCAGCACTTAACCAGCTAAGCCACCCAGGTAACCCAGGCTGATCGTCTTTCAATGGAAAAATTACCTTGTTCTTTAAGTTTCTCAAGCAGGCCAGCCTTTCTCAATACGGTAGGGCCTTCTTCCACGCCTCCTCGTGGCTGAACAATTAAACAATAAAATAATTCAGATATGATCAGCTGCCCACAATAGAAACTCTTCTCATTATTTAATCAGTTGAGTTCCTACAGAGCTGGGAATTTACACCATCTCATTTAATCATCACAGCAAGGCAGACTGAATTAGTCCTATGTTAAAAATGGGGATCTAGAATCAGAGAGGTTATAGAGTTCTCCTATGGGCACACAGCTAACAAGTGGCAGAGCCTTATTTCACATCCAAGTTCTTTGGATTCCAGAACCTGCATCGCCTCTCCCCATGACAGACACCATGTTATCAACATGGTGAGCACGTATTTTGTGCGAAAGAACTCTGATAGAAAATAATGAAAAAGAGAGGGCTTCTTTCTTGGGGTAACTCATAAGCTAATATGGAATTTGTATATTGAACCCCAATTACAGTACTAGGAGAGTTACTTCAATGCAGATACAAGATGCCGTAACGACAAAAACAGGCTGTTCCTAGCTCAGCTGGGGACAGAGCATGTGTCAGGTAAGGCTACATGCAGTAGGTGACATTTCAGCAGAGTCTTGCAACACAAGTAGGTTTTCAGGAAAATGGATGGTGGGATGGAAAAATACTGCAAACCCAGGGGAAAACTTGGGTAAAAGCATAAGGGGGAAAATAAAAAAGCAAGGCAGGAGAGCCCTACGTGCATGTCATGGCAGTGAGTTAGCAAGCTCCTGGGGAGAAAGCAGGCAGCAGAACGTCATCACTTGGGAGCTGAATCCACAAAGACTAGCCCGGTATTTCAGGTTTTGACCTGCTTAGGCACCACGGACAAGAATTCTCCTCTTGCTGTTTTTACATCAGAAAAGCGAACACACTTCCTTCTTGCAATAAATCCTCTCTAGACTCCTGGCAGAATAGAAGTCTTAAGAAACAATTTTCTTATGCACCTCTCTGATTCTAATTTCCAACAAGGCTTTTAGACACAGAACGTTATTTTGCATTGTCCCATGAGATGTGCCAAAAGGCTCATGTGTCTATATCCCTGGGATTGGGGCTATGGCACCAAATGAAGCAAATATTTCTACCTAATTCCAGATGACTCACCCTGGCTGCTAGGCAAATCCTCAATGTCAAATTCCTGTTCCTGACACATGTTGCTCCTTTTCTCCATTCCCTTCTTGAATGACTACCCTCCCCCCCCCCCACCGCCCCCACACACACATCCTTCATCAAGCAGATATAACTTCCCTTTCTTTAAACCTCAATAGAGTGCTGCTTGGCTCAAGTTTTGCTTTTGGTTTTGTACTTGCTTGCTTTGTCTTTCCTCCTTATTAGATTTCAGTCCAATGTTCTTTCCACTTGAGGCGCTACATGTTGTAGTATAGGGCTGACACTTAGTAGGTGCTCACAGATTGTCACCTTGAGAAAACTCCCTGGTCTTTTCCCCCTTCCTTTCAAGCTTTAGAACAAGTCTTACAGACGCCTTGGTTGACACTATATCTGCTCTAACACAGTGGTTACATTTCCCAGAGTGACTCTTTCCATCATTCTTTATTTGTTTGATTCAAAATGCTTCTCACGATTGGTATCTCCTCGTTGCTTGGTTTATCTGTCCAGTTTGGAAATCATTTTGTTAGCTCTACTGACTCTGAAGCTGGGTCCAGATCCCTAACTGCCCACAAGTGTGAAGTATGCTGTGGCTCTATAGGCATCAACACAAGTCAGGTGCATAGGCTTTGAATCATACAATCCTGTCTGGAACCACACAGCCAAGGCTAGCAACTTAGCAAATTACTAAACCTCTCTGATCCTCAGTTAACTATAAAATAAATATAATACCGCATGTTTTGCCATCGCCTCTCCCCCACCCCTCACTGCCTTGCGAGGGAGTGAGGCAGGGGACGGAGGCTTTTTTCAGACTCAACCTTCTCCTCATCCTAATCCTCTAATCCTCTCCTTCGCCTGTTTGTCAGACTTCTACCTCCTTTAGGTGAGGAGAGATGCTAATATGCTGGTCACCATTTCCCTCTATGCTATGGCTTAGTGCAAAAATATCTCTGCCTCCTTACTACCACGAGACAGTAAGCTTCATTCTCATGGGGCCATTAATAGGAGAAGAGCTGGAGGGAAAAACAAACAAACAAAAAAAAGAAATACCAAGAATGGAAAATGCATCATGCTGTATTTCAAAATACTATCCCTTTGAAGGGCTATCCCTATCAGCATAAGGTCCTCTGCCGAGGTCCAGGGGCCAGAGTATGCTCAGGCTGTTACCTCCCTCCCTCGCTCCCTCCCTTCGGCCTCCCTTCCTTCCTTCTGAAATTTTTTGTTTTCCTCCCTCCTTTCCTTCCTTTTGGTCAGCTATTTTAATTCTGTCTTTGCTAAAACCTGTCCCAAGAATAGGCGAGTACATTGTGGGTTTCACGATTAACCCCAGCACTAGAAGAAACATTTCTCCGTCAGCCAAATGTCCCCATGATTCGGGAGAGGGCTTTAAAGGACTAGGAAGGAAGTGCTGCCGTATTTACTGACAGTCCAAATGCAGTTTGGGTCTCCACCCTCTGACCTCTCCCAATCTGTTTTGCAATAAAATGCTAGAGTGCCAAGCGCAGGTTCAAAACTAAGAGGAGCGAAGTACGGCCTACATGGGCAAAGAGACAAAGAAGACCCCGTTTGAAATAACAACAGTGACAAAGTTTCACCCCTAGGAGTTTCAATCCGCTTTGTCAGGTTGCCTTCGTTTTTGTTCTTTATTTCCCCCTTTAAGCACAGATGCATCCTGGAGCCTAAGGTGTCCATAATCACATTCTATCTGCCAGAATGAGTGT